AAAGATTCATCTTTTGAGAGACGCCGTGCAGTTGGTGGGCGCAAGGCGTCTGATCGAAGTGTTTCATCATCCATTTCTTCCAAATCAATCTCGTCCATTTTAAAATTAGAATTATATGTCACATCAGTCACACGTAGACGAGTACCCGGTAATAGGATGATCTCACTTTCATTGCTATTACATGAATATGCCGATATATCTTTACCATTACGAATTTTAATATTTAATAGAGTCGATTTTTCACCCAACAACGAAGATACGATATTATCGAACGCTTGTGTACATGATGTGATACCCCACCAAGTAATTAATTTATTCTTTGGATATTTTTCTTTGATTTTGCTAGTTGTACCTTGATAAACATGCCCTTTGACAGAAGGTAATTTGTTAAGTGCTGACCAAATTAGCCCGAGATAGTTAAACCAATATTTCTTGAGATTAGTTTGATCTTCACATCGTAATGCATGGTTAAGCGTGCGGCTGAAACTTGTATCACCCGAGTGCACAGTATATAAAAATATGGCTGCTGATTCATCAACGGTAAGGTTATTTGCAGAAGTTGTATTGGCGCGTTGTTTAGCATGTCGTATATAATCATCCAAGTGAGGAATAGCGTCTTTTATGGGATTGAGAGCTTCTTCCAGTGTTACAGTACGTTTATTTTGATAACCTTCGATATGTTTTAATGGTTTATTTTCACAGTCGACATCAGTGAGCCGAATAATCAAAGTGTAGTTGTGACCTATAATAATTATTATTTTCATATTATTTATTTTATTCGTTCCTGAATTACAAAAAAAATATCACACTCTCGTATTTTGTCCGTAATAGGCCATCTCACAGAAACTATTAGTGATAACTTAGACAGAATTTTATAGACCTGTCTGAAGTGTAATAGTTTTGATAACCACACACTCATAAAATGATAAATATAAATATTGTGAAGTCGAACAAGTAAAACACTTCTTAAATTACTGAGAAAAAACCAAAGCTTTTAGACAATATAATTCTTCAAATTTTTTTCATTCATAAAAATATCAAATTTAGCTCTAGAAGGATGAGAAGGTCCTTAAACAGTCTTTAAGCCTGTTTGAGCAGGCAATTTTTTGATTCTTTTTCTTGTTTTCATTATTCTCAAAAATACATTTGAACTTTGGAGGTTTGGCTAACATATTATTTTTGAATACGATCTGTTCTAAAACACCAACCATGACATACTTTTCTAATCTGCGTAAAATGGACCCGAGCTTTAGTTTTCACTCAACCAAATAATTTGAATGAATAGGAGTACCGAAATATATAGCTTTTCTGAGATAATCCTTTTAAAGTTACGTAAGTCGATTGGATCTGATCCTTGTCACTTCGTTACTTATAACCATTCATAAATTTTCCAATACTATAGAGCAAAATCTGGCATCCCATTCTCAATCTCAACTTCAAAACAAGTACATATTTTGATTCTCATCCCATTGTTTTTTTTACTTTTGAGCGTGTTTTTTTTTCTATTTCTAAAATAGCGAGTATATTGCTTATAAACTTTCGAATCACTTCTCAGAAAGATTGAACGCTAGCATGCTAATGAAGCTTGTCATCTTTATTATGATGAATGGAGGATTTATTCAACTCACGCATTCTCAAGAGTTTTTTAAAAACCTATCCTAATAAGAAATCGATTTCTCTGTTAGCGTCCGGATAGATACTCTGTGTGGTTATGATGAAAGCTTTTCGTTTAGTTCGTTTTCGTTGTGAAACAATGAGGAAAACGAAACAAAGCAGTTATTTTGACATTCAGACAGAAATTCTAACGGTATCAATCTTTCGACAGAGGTATCTACGTACCAGAACTTGCATCTGCTACATGTTGATTATTATTATGCTTTGATTTTGATGATGATTTTGTTTGGTAATGGCTATCTGCTGATTTCGTTGAAGAATTTTGGTTAGTTTCAGGTTTCGATGAAGACGAACCTAAAGTTGGCAGCAAAAGTTCTTTAAAATATCACATTCAATTAAATCAATGAAGAGTTGTCAATAGTTAAAAAGCTAATTCTGTAGCTCGCGGATGTGAATGTAGGTATGCATGTGAAAAAATAGAAGACCTATGATTACACTGCTGGTACCTACACATTCATACTCTAATCTGAATGTATCGAATAGAGAAACAAAACAGTTTTTCAGAATTTTTCTGTCAAAATTTTATTTTGACTTCTTTGCTTTGTAAATGATCTTTGTATGCGACGTACATTTCTTTTAATAAATTTTTCCTTATTCTTAAGGAGAAAAGCTAGATGCACAAAATGTATTTAGTTTCATTCAGTTGCTAGCTTTCCAAAATGTCAAAATTAAAAGAAAACCTTCAAAATGTATCATTTTCGTTCAGTTTTTAAAACTCTTTCGAACGGCATGTTGTTTGAAAAGTTGGACAAGAATTGTAAACTTTATAAGCAAAATACTATGTTTGCTGAATTTTCAAGAATTTTTTATAGTACTTTTAAAGAAAAGTAATATTCTCAAGAACTACGATTCATTAGAGACTAAAAAGATAATAGTACACATAATTTTCTGCCGACAATCGAATAAGAGTAGTTTCAAAAAACAATTTAACTTGTTTACCGTATTTTCCGATGGATTCAAAATCGTGTTTATTTACAGATAATTTTATAGAAATTAATGGCATTAAATCAGAAAGTATTTAATAGAGATCTATGTAGAAATATCAAAGGTTACTGGAAGTGTAATAGTTTTGACAACCATAAAGTAACATAATAATGAAGATAAATCCTGTGCAGTCAAATAAGTAAAATTCTTCTTTTATTACTGAGTGAATCGAAAACTTCTAGATTATATCTTTAGAAGGATGAAAACTTTTTAAGAGTCTTTATAATTGTTCGAACTAGCAATTTTTCGATTATTTTGCTTGTTTTCATTAGTCAAAAAAGAAGCAAAAATTTTCAAAAGTTTGGAATCTTTATGAATATATCACTTTTAGCACATGAGTTGTTCTATAGAACCTATCATTCCATGTTTTGCTGATCTGCATAGAGTATGCACGAGTTTTAGTTTTCATGTAGAAAAAATTTTCAAATGATAGGAGTGGGTATGATTGATTGGGGGTTTCGTCAACATTCAAGTAATTTTTCAATTAGATTATTTCAAAATAAATTATTTTTCTAAGATCACCTTTTCAAGGTTACCCATTTATGCCCTTTGCGCTCAATTTTTGTTATTGTATTACCTAATATTGTTATAAATTTTTTCAATACTGCAGAAAAGTCGTACGTCATATTTTCGATCTCACCTTCAAAATATGTGAACAATTTTGGTTTTCATTGATATTATTTTTAGTACGGAGAATTTTTCAATTTTGCGTTTAAACTTTCGAACTAGCTCTTAGAGAGATTGAACGTTTAGATGCAACTGAAGCTTCTTGTTCTTATTATACTAAATATGCGGATAATTTATTTTACGCGTTCTAAATAATGATTTCTAAAGAACTACTCTGATAAGTAATCAGTTTCACTTTCAGCCTGTGGATACTATACTTCTCGGTATGTTTATGCTTACAATTCCTTGCTTATTTTGTTTTCGTTCTGAATTAATGATGTATTTTAGGATTCAGATAAAGAATCTAATATTATCAATATTTCAGTAGAGGTTTTCACGTACCAGAACTTGCATGTGTTGCACTTTGGTGATCATCATTCTTTGACTTTGATGAGGCTCGGGTTTCCTTATACTCATCGACAGGTTTCGTTGAAGAAGTTTGATTCGTGTCATGTTTTGATGAAGATGAAGATAAATCTAAAGGTGAAAGTAAAGATTTTTAAAAATATTTTTGTTCATTAAATCAATCGAGATTTGTCAAAATAAAAACAAATTTATTTTCATGAATCGTTTTATGCATCAAATCTTCTAGAGAGTCTAATATCTGCATTAAAATCTATCAAAAGTAATCGATGTTTCCATTAGCTTTCATCATTC